CAGAGCTGAATCAGTCTTTAAAACATGTACATTCTCCAGATTACATTTCAAACCTAGTATTTCATGGCAAATCACTATATACAAAAAACAGTACTCGTTCAATGGAGACTAAGGATAGTTTCATAGAGTATCATACTACAGAAAGTTTCCAATTCAGAAACATTCCAATTGATGAACATTTCTCTAAAATGAAAAATTGAAAGCATCTGCAGATGTTGCCAAGATTGGAGCCTGTCCTCATACACATGCATAGGGAAATAATAATTGTAATAAACCATAACCAGAAGAAGATTTTAATAACACTATTTTGGTTTTCTGCATTTCCTCCTCAATATTTGAAAATCATTGGAACTTCAAAAAAACCTCTTTACCTATTTAAAACAAGATATCCCCATGCAGTACCGGTGAAAAATTTAGAAATGTAAAATCAGGCACCCCACCTGACAATAGTTAGGGCCAGGTAAGCAAAGAACTGCTTAGCACACACAACTTAGTTCTAGCTCGACCACATATGCAACAGCCACTTGCCGCCCAGCACTTAGGCCTGGTTTGCCATCATGTGATTAAACATCTAGCATCAGTGAGTTAAAGATATATCAACTGGGTAGCAGACACATGCTTACAAGATTTTGAGCAAAGATACTGCAAATCAAATGGAAAATTTACTTTACCATGCACAGCAACTTTCCACTAAGTTTGGGTATTTTTTGTAGCAAGAACTTGTCTCATAAAAACAATGGGATTCTTATCATGACTTAAAATACAATCAGAATAATTTTACTTCTAGCAATAATTTAAGGTAAGTGATGTGACATAAAACATTATCTGCCTGCAAATGTTTACACTGTCATGGATTTTTAGGTTTTCAAAAACACCCATGGTTGGAAAAGAAATATTCTATATATATGTATGCACATATAATATACATATGTGCATGTGTGTTTTTGCATGAATTATTATCTTCATCTCAGAAAATATTTGTGTATGTCTGTGTATAAACAGCTATTCAAGTATTTCTATGAATAATTCACACACACACGCACACGCACACACACTAATTCCGATTTAGAATTTTAGAAGCCTTTCCCACAGTCCTGAGAGCATCAAATTCACCTGCATCTATGATCAAATAACTCACATACAGACAACTCTCCTCATCTTTTATTACAAAGCTCTTTTAATGCCATATTTGCCCATTTGCCCCAGGAAAAAAAAAAAAAAAAAAAAAAAAAAAAAAAAAAAATACATATTGGATTTTGTACTTCTGGTATAGGTGTAGCTGGTATAACCTATATACGACATGTTTGAGTCTGGTCCATAATTGCACAAATACCAGAAATGTTATGCAAAGATTTTTGTTCTGTATATCTGAAAACCTTGAAGATTTGGTAAAAATGCAGCCTGATTCATTTTTTTTAGAGAGTTGTAATAACAGTAAAAGTAACACTAACACTAACAATATATGGAGATAAATTGTGAACAACTCATTCAGTGTATGAAACCTGTAACTAAATTCAATATTTAATAAACAAATGGGAGTTTCATAAAACCTATAAAACAAAAAAAACCTAAAAGAAATAAAACAAAATATCTATAACCTAAAAAAATAAAAATAAAAAAAAAAATATCAATAACCTAACAAGAAATATAAATAAACAAAAACAAAAATAAAGATAACAAAATATACAGGAACTATGGCAAAATCATATTAATTTAAAAGAATAAACAATGTTAACAAAAATTTAGCAATAAAATCATAAATGAGACATAGGTAGATCATGATGTAAAGAGTGACACAAGGAACTCCCATGGGAAAAGTCCTTCCCCTATTCTATTATTTGTTATCATCATATAAGCATATGCAAATAAAACAAAAACGATATCCTATAATATTCATACCTTTCACTCATACTCACATACACACAAACACACAATAAATTCATATATCATATTTTCCTTTTTTTTTGCCAATAATCATATCACTTTCACAGAACACACTATTGTCATTATGATGATTCTACCTCTGACATATTCCATCTAATCTTTGCAACAAGCTAAAATGTCAACATGTTTCTACTTAGATCATTGTTGTTTTGTCATCAGAATCAACTTCCCCTATAATATAAATTTTCATAACAAATCATATTAAATATATATATATATATATATATATATATATATATATATATATATATATATATATATATATAATTCTTTCATCTACCTTTGATTAACCTCATTTTCTAAAATCAATGCACAGATGCCCTTAAGAATTTCACAATAAATTAATAAATGCAACTTTTCTAAACAACACTGCTGTATTAGAAATTATTAGCATTATCATCCTCCTGTTCACATGCTTTCAATCATCAACAATCAAGTATAATGGTATCATGATACAAAAAAATAACTAAAATTTATTGATGACTCCATTGGCCTACAATTTTGTAATCTAAACAAAGGTAAATCTTTACACATTCTTCCTTTAATCTAATATACT